ATAATGATGATAATAATAATGATAATAATAATGATGATGATAATAATAACAATAATAATAATGATGATGATGAAAATAATAATAATAATGATGATGATAATAATAATAATAATAATAATGATGATAATAATGATAATAATAATGATGATAATAATAATGATTATAATAATGATAATAATAATGATATAATAATTATAATAATGATGATAATAATGATGATGATAATAATAATGATCATAATAATGATAATAATAATAATAATGATGATGATAATGATAATAATAATGATGATGATAATAATAATGATAATAATGATGATGATGATGATGATGATGATAATAATAATGATGATAATAATGATAATAATGATGATAATAATTATAATAATTATGATAATAATGATAGTAATGATGATAATAATGATAATGATAATAATGATGATGATAATAATGATGATAATAATAATAATGATGATAATAATAATAATGATAATGATAATAATAATAATGGTGATAATAATGATGATAATAATAATGATGATGATGATGATGATAATGATGATAATAATAATAATGGTGATAATAATGATGATAATAATAATGATGATGATGATAATGATAATAATAATAATAATAATGATGATGATGATGATGATAATGATGATAATGATGATAATTATAATAATGGTGATAATAATGATGATAATAATAATAATAATGATGATATAATAATGATAATAATAATAATAATAATAATGGTGATAATAATGATGATAATAATAATAATAATAATGATGATAATAATAATGATGATTATAATAATAATGATATTGATAATAATAATAATGATAATAATAATAATAATAATGATGATGATGATGATAATGATGATAATAATAATAATGGTGATAATAATGATGATAATAATAATGATGATAATAATAATAATAATAATAATAATGGTGATGATGATAATAATGATGATAATAATAATAATGATGATAATAATAATAATAATGATGATAATAATAATAATAATAATGATGATAATAATAATGAAGATTATAATAATAATGATATTGATAATAATAATAATGATAATAATAATAATAATAATGATAATAATTTAGTTTGTTGTTTTGTTGTCCTCTTTGTTCCACCACATCGAGCCAATAAAGTTGTTGTGGTAAAACATTCCAGTTAATTGAATTCTTGCAACATATTAATAATCAGCATAAAGTTTTGCTCTCCATGTTTCCACGTCAGATTTTAGCAGAGCTCTTGGGTTTTCTCTTGACTGGTGTCTGTGGTTCAGCCCCCCCACCATCAAGACCTTGAAACGGTGCTGATCATTATAAATCCAGCCAGAAGCGTTTGGACCAAGGTGAACTCTGCAGCCTGACCCTGTGTCTCGTCTCGCAGGCTGTCTGCTGGTCCGCCACGTTCGGTCCGATTACACCGTCAGACGGTTCAAGTTTGTCAACCAGATGATGGACTGGACCGGCGCTCAGAGTTACTGCAGGGAAACCTTCACGGACCTCGCCACCATCCAGAACTCCGCCAACATCACCGAAGTGAAGCAACTGGCAGGGACCTCCAAGGTGTGGATCGGACTCTTCAATGGCACCTGGAGATGGTCTCAGGAGGAGGACCAGGACATCTCCAGCAGCACCTGGTTCACCTACTGGTACTACAACGAGCCTGGGACTGGAAACTGCGTTGTGTACAGAAAAGATGGGAGCTGGTCCACCAAGGACTGTGGAGTCCAGTACCAGTTTTTTTGTTATGACGGTGAGTCGGTGTCATGATTTTCTTTGAGTTTATATTTTTCTGCCTCTTCAACTTTTGGTTTTGTTAAAAAATCTTGTCCTTCATCCACGGCTCCTTGTCTGAGTCTGCATCTTTTGGTCCGATTTCACAAAGACCCTAACACTTTTATTAAACTGTTGAAAATAAAACCGGACACAAAATTAAAGCATTAATTTTCATGAAAAAGAGTTGGACATTTTCTTCCCCTTTTGCTCCAAGTATCAACTCATTGTTTAGTTTTTTATGAGTTTGTTTTTCTCCAACAGCTGCAGTGAACACCCACATCCTGGTGGACCAGCTGAAGACCTGGTCTGAAGCTCAGACCTACTGCAGATCTCAGTACACGGACCTGAGCAGCATCCAGAATGGAATAGACAACAGTGTGCTGTACTTTAAGATGGTTTTAGGACCCTCTAATGCATGGATCGGTCTGCACAGGTCCACCTGGGTGTGGTCCGATGGCAGCAACATCTCCTTCAGGGCTTGGGGCTCCCAGGACCCCACCGTGAGAGGGGACTGTGTTTTGATGGACTCGTATTATGGTACCTGGTACTGGAAACCCTGCAGTGAAGACCACCCCTTCCTCTGCTACATAGGTGAGTTCACCTGCAGGCTCTGGTCTGCAGGCTCTGGTCTGCAGGCTCTGGTCTGCAGGCTCTGGTCTCTGCAGGCTCTGGGCTCTGCAGGCTCTGGTCTCTGAAGGCTCTGGTCTGCAGGCTCTGGTCTCTGCTGGCTCTGGTCTGCAGGCTCTGGTCTCTGCTGGCTCTGGTCTCTGAAGGCTCTGGTCTGCAGGCTCTGGTCTCTGCTGGCTCTGGTCTGCAGGCTCTGGTCTGCAGGCTCTGGTCCTGCTGGCCTAATCAGGTGGTCCTGTCCTCTGCAGATATCAGACCTTCAATGGATCGGTCGGTGAGGATTCGGCTGAGTGCAGGATCTGCAGACCTGGATGACCCTGAGGTTCAGGAGTCCATCCTGCAGCAGGTCAGATTTAGAGAATTAGCTCAAAGCTTAAGTTTTGTTTTAGTTTAGGGTTGAATTTGTAAAACAGCTACAAGAAATAATAAAAAAAAAAGGTTTGTAAGCTCAATCATCCAGGTAGATAACAACAAAAAGTGGCATCTGGACCAGTTTCTTTAAGTGAGAAATGTTTTCTCCTCCATCCAGAGGACTTCCTCAGTCTGTAGCCTGCCAACCAGATCTGTCCCATAGGTAGCCTTCACTGCTGTGTCAAGCCAACCTCCTGTTGGAATATCAGACGTAGACTTTTAACATGTTTAATCTCAGACGTAGACTTTTAACATGTTTAATCTCATACATAGACTTTTAACACGTTTAATCTCATACATAGACTTTTAACACGTTT